CATCTCGGCTCAACCCCTTCATTTTCTCGGTAGTCTAATTTTTTTTTCATCAAAATTTTCCCAACTACTCAATTACCACAACCCACAACCCAGAACCCAGAGTTTTACTTCAGGTCTTGGGTTTGTCTGTCTCTTTTTCTCCACCTTTATTTGTTTCCTATAACATATACTGACTTGAACGCCACCTAGCATACAACATCACAAGATTTCCCTGCTGGCGCAATGGTAGCGCGCAAGACTTCTAAAAGAAACTTCTGTTTCTCAAAGACTATCTTGAGGCTGTAGGTTCGAGCCCTACGTAGGGAGTTACCCTGAGTATCATCGGTTTGAATCCGTTGCCAAAAATCTATACTTTTGCCCTTTTTACCATTTTTTTGGTGGTATGGTTATTGACCTTCGAGGGGATATCAGTGAAGCGCTCCACGCCATAATTTTGTCGATTTGTATGAAGATGCGTGTCAGAATAGAACTAGAGTTTCCATTAGTTCCTAGTATAGAATTTTAGAGCAAAAATATGTCAAGTCAATTTTGTTCTTATTTTTGTATATAGGTCAAAACCTAGAATTACCCCGCGCTAGGCGAAAAAAAAAATTCTACTTCCAACACCAAAAAATGTCACGTCAATTTTGTTCTTATTTTGGTATATAGATCAAAAACTAGAATTACCCCGCGCTAGGCGAAAAAAATTTCACTTCCAACAAAAAAAAGTGCAAAAGCAAACTTGATGAGAGTGGGATTCGAACCCACGCCTATTACTAGACCAGGAGATTGTAAACAACCGTTTGTTAAGAGTTAATCACCTTAACCTGGCGCCTTAGACCAACTCGGCCATCTCACCGTATTTTTTGATAGCTAGGTGAGATTTCAAATATATATACAGACTATTCACTGTTGGTGGAGAAGAGGGGGGCTGCCCCACTTGTTCATTGATGATGATCCATATCTTTGCTACCCAACCATTTGAAAAGATTGGAGATCCCTTGATTGTTTGGTATTGAATGATCGTCTAGATGATCTCGTCTTTTAGTGTTGTAAATGGAGTGGTATATTTCTGTATTTGACGTTATTTAGTGGAACCTGGAAAGATATATGGGAGAGGTTATATGGACCTAAGTTAGCAAATTCACTCTTCATCTAATCATCTAATTACAAGCAATATACTCGTAAACTTCTGAGCCATCATGTAAACGTAAAGAAAGACAATAGTTTTTTTTATTAAAGCATGTCATATAGCAGATGTATTCGTAATCCAAGTCTGGTGTGCCATTCATTGCTCGTACACCATGAGGAAATCTTCCCTTCCCTTCCCTTCTCATCTCGACTCTGCCACAATCAAGCTTGCGGCTGTTTATATCCATATCAATAATATATGGCGGATTTTAAAAATTCTTGAGTCCTGGAATTTATGCGATGTCATAGGTTTCTGTAGCGAATAACTTGAGGTCAACATTTGCTGTTCACTGCGGTAAAATGACGACATTTAGGTTGTCTGAAGAACCAAAGATGCTGGCTAATAGTCCTTGTTCGACTTGACAACAAGGGAGGTATGCACATTGAAATCTGGGAAGCTATGCCGGGTATCTTTTAGCCCAGATATGTGTCCTAATACCAGCGCCTGCATCACATATCAACTAAGTCTAGGTTTTTCGGTCTTGATGTTGACGAACCAGGAGATAACGAATCTCCTTCTCCTTCTGAGGCAAGTTATCAGAACAATGATCTATCATACTCATCAGCATACAAAGCCGGTCGAACTCACCATGTCCGAGATTCACCAAGATGATGGCGCAATATCCGTAGACTATATTTCCAAGGTTCCGCTTTGTATTTACAATACTCCTCATATGAAGCATGCCATAACATATTCAGACAATGCAACTGAATCCACAGATCGATATATGTGCGGTACAGAATTTTAGTGGCAAATCATGAAGCACGATTGAGAAGGTCGAAAGTTCTGTTCATGCATCACATGTCCAATAGTCCCTAGATCTAATACTCCCTTCCCTTCCATCGAACCGGATATCTCCAAAGCTAATCAAGTCGTCAACACCAGTTCCTCGAAATATAAAGGTAAAGCTACATGGTCGATAGGATTTGAGAAGTACTGCAGTCATTCTGCCCACTGTTGGGTCTGAGCATGAGGATTGAATATTACAATTCGGACGGATATGCGAGATAGTTGATCGGCTTATACGCACCTACGCTTTAACCTTGACAGAGATTCTTTCATAGTTTTGAAAACTGAAATTTGATTCCCCATCACGTAGATCGATATCTAAAATCCTATGTGCTGTTTGAAAGCTACCCCAGTAAATGCCCCCGATTTTCTTCGTTTCCTGTTCCTGGGGACCTAGTGCATCACATCAATTTGTACCTTGTTCCACTTGACACCGGATCTGTATGTACGGAGGTATCTTTCTATCTTGACATGCAGTCATGCAATCGCGGAGACCAATACCATTACCAAAATCTTAAGGTATGGTCTGTATGTAATCTATGGCATCAGAGACCGATGATCATCTGGTGAATTTAACCAGCCGTAGTACGCATGCAGTAATATCTGGTCCAACACTTACCTAGTTACAATACCTTTTTAAATATTACATTGGACATTACAGATCACATACCAGGAGTAGTTTTATATTATCTCACACGGAGGGAAACATGAAGTAGAGTTTGCTCCATTATAGAATTTGTCGAATGGTTATGCATGTGTGTTGGTAATTGTGTGATGTGAGCGTTCTAGGTCAATGCATATCCTGATTTCAATAAGTTGTCAAAGGCAGATTGGAAGTTGCAAGTAAGTAGGTATGCTTTGCACTATATTCCATGTTAATTTAAAGTCCGAACCGTTAACTATGAGTATTGAAACCCGTAAAGATGACAAGGTAGCTTACCAGCGAATGTGTGCATTCACTTTCTAAACCTTGGTTATTGCTCATAATATTTGCATACTCGCGCGATTTCTTCGGGATAGTATGCGATATTAGATATATGACAGGAAGAAGATGGGTAAAGACAAGAGAAATGTAACGATTGGTACTGAAACCGCTGGAAGGAGTTTACAGTAGGAGGTATCGTCAAGATCCGAAACTTACGCGGGAAAATTCTGTAAGTGATAAGCTGACAATAATTCACATGTTAAAGGATGAGCAGCTATCGGCTCAAAGTTCAATGGTATGCTCAGTGTCAAATTCTCCACAAACCATCTGTATTCTGGTCCTCTATCCAGATGTCTTGATATACTTGCTTCGATTCTATGCCGGAAACATCCACATACAGCCTCTAAGAAAATTGGGATATTCATCAACATTCTATGACGAGAGATTCCTATTATTCTGAAATTACCAGGGACAAGAAATTCAAAGTTTACAGAAACCGGAGAACATTCTTTAAAATTCATGATAGTATTCAAGAAGGAAAATCCTAAAATCTATGAGATCAACATACCAATCTATGTCGAAGGTAAGAAGATCGAGGGTGTGAACAGAGCAGTTATGAAATGAATATGTAGTTTGAGAAATGAAAGCGAATAGGTAAAAATGATATCTAACAGTTCTAATGAAAAGAGGAGCATCAAGGAGCTTCGCTTGAAGCTTGAAGTGGAGCTGGAATCGCCGACCATCTTTGATCTTCCGTGAATGGTGATTCTTTTGCAATTTAACAACCTTGATATAAGTACACCGCTTGGATTATAGACCAGGCAAATATACATCGCTGAAGATTTCCTACCAAAGTCAGGCATAAACCCACATCCTCAAGTTTCTCATAAGCACTCTAATGTGAATACGCTCAAAAAATCCACAGATAAATACATCCCGAATAATAAAAGGACACCCAATTCGCCAATCTTTCTTCTGTTCTTATCCACAACGCCTATACCCAAATATCTTTCCCACCTTTAAGCCTAGACTTCTACGATCTCAAGGCCCTTAATCTTTCGCCCAATCCATCCTCCTCTACTTCAGTTGGATTGGATTTGACTGGGGTAGCCGCTTCCGGACTCTTCATCTCTTGATTCAACTCAATTCCAGCCTCATCCGCAACTTGGTTCATCAATCTATCAACATCTTCTTGAGGAGTGGCTACTGCTGTTGCCGATGTAGTTGCATTTTCGTAATAACCGGTTGCTACATCTAAATCTTCGAATTGTGTCTCAAATCGATCCATTACTGCCGAGATCTATAGATTTTATATTTTGTCAGTTAAAGTTAAAAGTGGGGTTGGGTGCAGAGATCTGATAATTGATAGAAGGGAAACTGACCTTTTCCAAATCCATAGCTTTCATAGCTTGATCCATCCCCCTTACTACATTCGTCATGCTGCCGGTGACTTGTCTCATGGTAACAGCTGTCTGTACTCTACTGGCCACGGCATCGATTCTACTGGCTAATCTTAGTAGATTTAATTTCTCATTTTGTTTGCGGATGGCATTTTCGGCATTGATTTTTGCGATATCGGGGTGGCCTTGTTGGATTGCCTGTAGAGTGATGTTAACGAGCTGTATTTGTATGGATATGTGTGAGACGGAAAGGCGCAATGTACCTTCTTGAGTTTATCCTTCTCGGCCTTTTCCGCTTGTCCAGCTTTATTGGCTTGTCGGTTGATTTGTTTTGCGGTGAACTGAACATTGGGTTAGTTTGAGGCTATATATATGCGCAGAACAGTTGACGTTGGAGAGCGATCGATGTGCAATATTGGGTGAAAGATAAGCAGAATGACGTACCTTCAAATTGAAGAGGGCTTTCTCGAGTCCTGACATGATGATAATGAATGGTAGATATGATCTTCAAAAGCCGCAGAATGTGTTTGTAAGGGTATCGCGATGACAATAGACAGAATTTGGATGGATATTTTGTCGATGGATGGAATTCTACCTAGCCTTGCGAACTTGGATCTTGCACATGTGTGACGATTGCGGGGGCGCTAGGCTTAACCTTAGACTTAGATTGCTTAGTCATTCAAACTTTAGATATGCATAAACCTAAACCCCTCCCTCCTCCATTCATGGAAAAGTGTTGACGTCTTGTATGTCTTTCTAGAAAATCATATAATTCAATTGTATTGATCTACATATCTATCCACCAAGGGACTTTCTATCAATATGCTTCCAAAACCAAGGCTTAACGTTCAAAACTTTCCACGTCCACCTCTCCTTGAGAAAACATCTCGTCATCTCGTTATAAGATATCGAGGTCAAACCATTGCTGAAACAAGTGATGCATATTGGGTTTTGGAAACATATCATTCGCCCAGTTAATACCCCCTTTCCATTCATGACAACTCTAACCTCTCTCTCTTCTCTCAATCCATAACCTAACACAAGAACAGCATACTACCTCCCCGCCACATCCCTATCTCCAAAGTTTCCTCTGACCCCCACCAACAAATCCACTTTTTGTGAATACAAAGGATGGGCCACATACTACTCGATCTCATTACCTGCACCTTTCTCCCCTTCTCCTGCCTCTTCTTGTCCTTTTGAAGACCAACTAAAATCATCCGAGCCACGAAAGCATGAAATATCCAACAGGATATGGTCATATGAATCTCCTACACCTCAGTATGCTGATTTGAAAGGTTATTTGAGTTTCTATGCTGGACCATGGGATTGTTATGTGGATGGAGAGAAAGTTATACCGCAACCTGGAGACTTTTATGGTGGTTGGACTACGAGTGAGCTTGATGGCATCATTAAAGGGAGTGCCGAGACAAGATGGATGTGAAGTCAGACAAGATGGATGTGAAGTCGGGGGCTGTAAAGATATATTCAGATAGGGTGTATATTTTGGGCGTTCTGGTGTGTCACACAGTGAGATTTGCAAATAATCATGATATAATACGCCTCAGCATGGATACTTGTTAGAGTGAAGCTGAACATGCATGCCATAAATGTTTGTCCAGTCAGTAAAATCCAATTTGAAATGGATGACCCCTTATGAGATCGGTACTATCCGAGGCGAAGACCCCTCAATCTTCATGACATTTTAACATCTATGAATAAAAGTCTAATATCCGATCTTTCAAATTTATGTGGAACACTGTTGACAAGTTCTTGATGAGCTACTTCAAAGCAGGAGCATGGCTGAAGGTTTTTAAGATGCTTTTACTTTATCAGCAATCATTTGATACAATGGCTACATGATCTACAAAACACAAATTCATTGTGAGCTGGAAAACATTTAGAGAACTACCGAACATCATACCCTCAACTACCTAATTGATAAGTCAAGTATTGGAGCGCAGGTTAGGAACTATCATCTCATGGCAAGTTGACTTCCTTCAGTCAAGCAATTTTGTCTTTTTAATCTCTCAAGTCTTTCTTTCCACTTCTCAAATCATTCAATTGTGAATATCCTCAGTTTCTTCCAATTTATCTATACGCTAGTTTATACAGAAATCCAGTTCATAGACCAATACCCCGTAACAAATCACATCACACATAGACAGGCATTTTCATCACACAAAACACACAATCAATTAAAAGGTAACTCTTTATATATTCTCTCAAAGGAAAAATCTATAATTACAGTGTTGACAAACACTTTTTCTTTTCAATTCCCCAACCATTACTCATGATCATATTACGATCCAGCATACCCTCCCAACCCTCGTGTGTACCGTGTACCATGCCAGACTGGCGTAACGTCCATAAAGATGGAACAAAGCTGATTATGTTTTTCCTCCAAACAGAAAATCAGGTGTGAGTGAAATAATGAAATTGGTATCGAATTGAACGCCTCCCGGACTTGATGCTATGCATGATTTTTATGATCGTGCTTAAACAAAAATGAAATGTGAATGAGATCGAATCGATTGCTTACAAAGCAAAGATGGCGACAAGAGCAGCGGCGATGAGTCCACCAAAGCTGCTAGTGCTCTTGATGGCGCTGCCAGTGAATGGAACGGTGGCCGAAGTGGTGGCGGCAGGTGGAACATTGGTAGCTCCTGCGACACCGGAAACAACCTTGGTAGTGCTTGATGGAGCAGAGGTGGTATAACCTGCGGCTTGGGAAGCAGCAACGGTACCTGGAATAAGAGCAACGCTAGGTGTTGCTGATCCAACTGCTGGAGCAGTAGAGAAAGCGACTTGTGGAACAGTGATAGCGGTGGAAATAGTGGTTGTGGTGGATGAGGATGGAATGACTGATCCAGAGAGGGAACCGGTAGACTCAGTGCATGGAACAACCAAAGTGGTGCTAAGAGTAACAGTGGTAACTGGGGTAGAAGCGACACCTTGAACAGATGAAGTAGCGACGGCACTGGAAGCAGCTGGAACATAGACGGTAGAAGCAGCAGTAACAATAGCTGGGTTGGTGGAGACGTGAGCGGCACAGATACCTTGGAGGTACTTTTGAGCAGCATCAATGTCAGACGAGGAGATACCATATGCAGAAACACATCCAAAGACGCTGTTAATGAATGCAGTATCTGGGCAGTAGCAGTCTGAATCAGTGTTGGACTCACAACCGACCAAGTACATCCAGGTGTTCAAGCATTGTGGCAAGACATCTGGGCATGCAGCGGTCTCAGTTGGGGTAGTGGCAGAAGCGGTGGTAGTAACACCTTCGACTGAGCTGGCTGGGGCAGTAACAGTGATGACACTGGAAGTGACAACAGTAGAAGAAGATCGGACAGTCGAGGTGGTTGAGGTGGTCTCGAAGCTGGTAACTCCTCCAGTGGTGTGAGTCAAGGTAACTGGGCAAATAGTGGTAGATTCTTGAACAACGACAGTGGTGTAAGCAGTGGTTTGAACGCTAGTAGCACTTGGAGCTGGCACAGATGTAACACCTTGAACAGTTGAAGAAGCGGCACTGGCTGGGGCAGTGACAGTGATGACACTAGAAGTAACAACTGTGGATGAAGTGCGAACAGTAGAGGTGGTTGAGGTGGTCTCGAAGCTGGTAACTCCTCCAGTGGTGTGGGTCAAGGTAACTGGGCAAATGGTGGTGGATTCTTGAACAATAACGGTGGTGTAAGCAGTTGTAGCAAGGCTGGTTGCGCTAGTGGTTGCGTGGGAGGAAACTGGGGCAGTTCCAACAGATGTACCGATAATGGAAGAAGCCTTGGAGGAAGATGGGGCGGATCCGGAAGAAACTGGGCAAGCAGTTTGGCCAGAGAGAACGACACCGGAAGAGACACATGGGGCAGTGGAGGAGGCAGCTGGGGAAGAAACAACGGATGTACCGATGATGGAAGAAGCAGCGGATGAAGCTGGGGAAGAGGCACCTGGGGAGGAAGCAGCTGGGGAAGATGCAGCTGGGGAAGATGCAGCTGGGGAAGAAACAACGGATGTACCGATGATGGAAGAAGCAGCGGATGAACCTGGAACCTCAGTGGCGGTGACTGGGCAGATGGTGGTAGAAACGGCAATACTATATAATTTATTAGATAAAACTCAGAATTTGTTAGATATATTGAACTTACACGACAGTGGTCAAAGCAGTTGATCTAGCTGGGCAGTCGGTGACAGTTTCGGCGCAAGAAATGATGGTAGAAACAGAGGTAGCGTAGATGGTAGAAGTGGTCAATTGGACAACAGATGAAGATCCAGATCCAGTGACAGATGTACCAATGATAGAAGAGGCAGAGGCTCCTGGAGCGGTACCAGCTGGGTAAGTGTGAACAGAGCTTCCTGGAGCGGTACCGGCTGGGGAAGTGTGAACAGAAGTTCCAATGATACTTGTGGCAGCACTTGAGCTTGGCTTATCTGAAGTCTTGACAATAGTCTCGGCACTTGAGCTTGGCTTAACTGAGGTTCCAATGATCGAAGACTTGGTAGAACCAGTTCCGACAAGGGTGTATGAAGTACCGGTGGCGGAAGGAGTGCTCTTAACTGAGGTAACCTTGTTGGAGGAAACTAAGGTAGTCTTGGAAGATTCAACAGAAGTGTACTTGGAAGATTCGCTGGAGGTGGTCTTGACAGAAGTAGTCTTGACAGAGGTCTTGGCACTAGCAGTGGTGGATGGGTGTTGAGTAGTAGATGCCGAGCTGCAGTCGAATCCAACGGAGCTAATACCAACACTGCAAGAAGCCTTACCAATAGCAGCAGTATGTGTTTGACTTGCGGAAGAGTAAACAACGGTGACGTTCTTAGCACCACCACATTGAGAGTTGGAGATGATGGAACCTCCACTTGAGCAGCGAGAAGTTTGCTTGCAAGTAGATCCATCACCCATACCATAGTGGAATTCCAAATCACAATCGAACTCGGTAGTAACGTGAACGGTGGAGATGGAGAAAGCGGAGATCTCGCCGGAAGATCCGGATTTAGAAGAGCCAGATTTGGAGGAGCTACCGCAGGAGAATTGAGGGCATGAGCCATGGTCTGAAGAAGCTGTACCAGAGATACATTTTCCGGAAGTTCTCTTTGGGAACTTTGGGTTATCACGCTTGCCGAAAGAGTTTGAGCATGTGAATCCAGAGAAGGAGAAAGCGTCATAGTTGCTGAAAGATCCAGATGTGAGGTCGCTGAAATCCCATCCACTCTTTTGAGTTGAAGAGCACTCATTGTTGGTGTTTGAAGGACAAGAAAAGCTAGACTTGTCTGCCCATCCGGTGGCAGCAGCAAGCTGGAAGCCGGTGGCCAAAGCCGCAAGGGCGAGGGTTTGAGTCTTCATTATTATATAAGTTGATCAACGAGAGTTGGTATGAAACGAAAAAAATATATAAAAAATAACGAATGATTTTTTGATGCCGAAGAAAAGAGATAGAGAGTAAAGAAGTGAATGACTTTAACTCTCAAACGGCGATATAATTATAAGAGAGTGAGTAAATGAAGAATCGTAATGAATGGAGTATGAATCTAACATGAGGATTCTCAGGATCTGTTATATCTTGAGAAACGGTTGGGCCATGACCTTTTCCACATAGCCTCGATCCCTTTCTTGGGGTCTTCCGTGTTGGATCACTTAGAAACTAGATGAGAACCTTGTCCCACAATCATCAAGGATTCTATAGACGAGGAGAATCTTTGAAGAAGCTAACACTGGACAAGGCCATATCCTTCCAGACCCATGCATGCGCGCGCCATTTCGTCCTTTACTTTTGGTGTGGAGTCTGAACTTCCCTAGCTTAAAAAAATGTAGTTGGTTAAGCTGTGCCAAGATGGTCTCTGAAAAAAGGCCATGCTTGTTTAATCGAGGGGTGCAGATGCGGAAAAGAACAGGTGAAACTTGACCATGCGAACTACTGCAGGTACACTGTCCTAGTCAGGGGCAACACTTAGAGACGGGTTTATTATTCCCTCGTATTTAGTCGTGCATCGTGATGATGTCCAGAATTCGCAAGGTCAATGCTTATTGCTTACATTCAATCAGATGTAAAGTTCGGACAAAAGAAATACATATTCTTAGTATACATCCATAAATCATCCCACCTTGCTTGCTTTGGGGTCGATTTGGAGGTCAGGTAGTTCGAACTTCTTTGAAATTGTCAATATTGTATGCCTGAAGCTCGAGCGTATGTATTTCATAGTCATGATATTCAACAGCAACATATTCATTCAGAGTATTGCAGAATTGTGACGCTCAGAGAGTGTGCCTGAATACATGCTAACACACAGCCGAGCGGCAAAGGAATGATTGGATGGTGAACATTGAAGAAGTTATGCAACGTATCTTCAGTACCCGATTCGGAACTTTACGCTTATGCAGGGTATCTGGAAGCAGTTGTCCATTTAATTTGGTTGGAGATTCAGCCATGAGGTGGTATTCGATTTGGCTTAGATCAATCAGATTAGACCCACAAATAGATGCTTACAGCGGTTCCTGATCTCAGATGATATGATCATTGGATAAATCACAATCATGATCGGATCAAATCAAGGTTGAGAGCGCCATTTAGAACATTTTAGGGGTCGATGAGCTTTTAGTCTTTTGTAAAAGGTAAATTCGATAAAACGGGGTTCGTGGAGTCGATTGGA